GACTGACTTCTTGGTACACCCTGATAATAAGGAGTTACCATGTTTATTTATATATCACAAATGTTACATTTGTCTCAGTGGACTTCACAGTTTGTACAGAATATCAGTATGTCAATATGACACCCTCTGTCCTTAGACCCTGGAGCTGGGCGGAGTACACAGGTATAGACAGAGAGAGGATCTAAAAGCTCAAAAGTGAGCTTGATAAGAAAAGGCTCTGGCTCCCATTGTACTTTTAGAGACTCTAGGAACACCTGCATTCTTGGAACGCAATGCCCTAGTAGATTTTAAATTCTATCCTGTGTTCTATAGGGAGCCAGTGTAAGGCAGCCAGAACAGGAGTAATGTGCTCCCTTTTCCTAACTCTGGTTAGTACACGAGCTGCAGCATTTTGAATCAGCTGAAGCGACTTGACTGACTTCTTGGTACACCCTGATAATAAGGAGTTACCATAATCCAGCCTTGAAGTAACAAATGCATGGACTAGTTTCTCTGCATCGTTTTGAGGCAAGATATGCCTGATTTTTGCAATGTTACGTAGATGGAAGTAGGCGGTCCTTGAAATTGATTTTATGTGGGTGTTACAGAGGTGGATTCAAACTAAGCACACAAACTCAAGTTCTGTACTTAAGCACCTTTTTACTACTACTTGTACTTTGAGTATTTCCATTTTCTGTTATTTTATACTATCATAAAATATAAATAAAGTAATGCATGATGGGGAATTCTTTTAGATTTCCCCGTCAACAACTTCAACATTATTCTGCTTACAACATAATTCATAAATAACTACAATCCATCATTTTACTGTATATCAATTGGTAAAATAAATGTATTCCCTAAAACAGACAGTCCTTCATAACGAGTGCTTTTCCTTTTGGTACTTTAAATATACATTGGTGCTAATACTTTTTTACTTAAGTTGGACTTTAAATGCAATACTTTTACTTGCATAAACTATTTATACAGTCATATTACTACTGCTTTTAATACTAATGGTCTCATATCCATATTAGCTATTTTTCACAGCAGACATTTTGGCATGTCACTGTAATTATAAATACTTTAATGTTATTCATAACATCTGTTCTTCTCCCCGCTATGAAAAGTCTAAATGACTGCTGTATAATAGGCTTGTTGTATATCTTATTCAGTTGTTGTCCACATGGTGGCACTGTTTGACCATCTTCACAGGGGGTGTAGATTTAATCTGATTCCACTGATGCCTATCTGAGATCTGTTACATGTTTCCAGTGTGTACATGATTGAATCTCAGTCTTTGATACACAAATGGAAAAAAAATAATTAGCTCTTAAGCTTTGGTATTTACTTCTCTGTAAAAGCAACAGTGCTTAAAGTTACTTTTATTTGGATTCAAAATTAATACAAATATGAGAATGCAAATGTAAACATTGCTTTAAGAATCTTAAAAACATAGTACCCTAAAAAAAAGAGGAAGAAAAAGATGGGTTTTTTTTAACTATATTTTGCAGGACCATTAATAAAAATCAATTCAAAATACATATTAATTTCCAGATTTTAATGCAACAAATAGAAAAATTGCCATGAAAGGGGAATCCTTTTGCAGGAGAGCTCGCTGTCTGAATGGGAACATTTATTTTGACTATGCTTCAAACAGCCAAAGAGTCCTTTGTCCTTAAATCACGAGCAATCATGTCCCTGAAATCAGACGCTCATTTCGTTTCACAGCTGCAAATCATTTCCATTCTCTGCAATCTCCCCAAAGATATACTCAAAATATTCTGATTCAGAAAACCATCTGTTGAAGTGTGCTTGTAAATGTCTTCCTTAAAGCATGTGCGGTGTCCCCTATGCCCCTGGTGATTGTTTTAAACCCCCCCCTCAATGACATGAGCATGAACCAGTTAGGATTTATCCCCCACCTTCCACCCCCTTGGGTTCTGAAATCATAGCATTTTGGCCGTGTGAGATACCTAATCCTATTTGAAGCAGCTTTCCTGAATGAAATGTGCCAAAGGCTGTCTCTGTACTGTAGGCGCTGCTCGCACCATCTGTAAAACACTGTTGAGTGGATAGTGACTATATTTGACCTGTGATGAAAATAGAAAACATGTCTGTGGTCGTGACAAAAGAAAGAAGGAAACACCTGTTGTGATTTTAATTGAACAAGCATATGTCACCGCTCTGCATGACCAATGATTCAGGCTTAAAAGGCTCTCATGGTGGAGGCATGGTGATGTTGGCAGGGGTTTATTCTAATACTTAATGTGATGGAGGCAGGTGGGAAGCTTAATTGGTTTGAAACGCCAATGCAAATACACAGGAGAAGGTTAGGAGTCGATGCATTCCCCCGGCAAACAGGGACCCAGGGCCCAGCAAGGATTCTGAATATGGATTCCCATTAATCTGTAATGAAATGAAATTGTTGTGATCGTATTATTCGGAATCCCGGCAGACAAACAACACTTCTTTTTCAATCTTCTTCTATAGAGATAAGTGCAGGTCTTGATCTCAAGTATGGAACTGTAATTATTCATATCTTTTTGTGGAAATGCACAACATAAACAACTGCCAAACACAGCCAGGGAAATGACAAATATGATCATTGAAAAAGCACTAAGGAATGAAATGTTCTTATCATTACAATAGCAAACTGACTGGGCTTAAAAAAAAAGACTAGAGCCAGCCCAGGTCTCATGATAAAAGTCCATATTAACCCTTAAATGTAAAGGGAAACAATTAAGTGAAGGAAGGGTGAGAGGCAAATAACACTTTAATTACATTAAAACACATTTATAGAACATCAAAAGGTAGAATATTTCTGTCTAATATGTACAGCCGTTTTTCTAAAAAGTTTGTTTTACTTTTTATGCAGATTGTTTTTGAAAGTCTTGTCATTGTGGTCTGTTCAAAGTCATTGCTGCTATAAGCACCATGTGTTCCCTTGTTTCACAAAACATTCTACTAACATATAAAACATGTTATTTTTTCCAACAATGATACATTCATTGACAAAATGCTGTCAAATGCCAACAGATATACGAAACAGCTGAGATCTATAATGCATACACAACAACTACACAGATTTAAACCAAGGTGACATATCCTTTGATACCATCCCAATATATTGTTTTCTGTTCTTCATAAGGACATTGACATTTATTTACGAGAGTCATTTAGAGGGATATTTTAAACCTTGATAAATTCACTTTTACATTTTTTGCAGGTGACAGATGGACTTGCTTGTACTAAATGGTGTCCTATTCCCCATACTTCAGAAAACAAGCCGTAAAACAGGTTTAAAATGTGTTTAACATTTCTCTCCAATATTGACCAAAGGAGAAATAATTTTAAAAAACGAATAATTTTTTTTCTTACCAAATTCAATATTGTAATTGACTTCTTGTGGAAGAGGGACTCGTCTTACAACATACAAAGAAACGTAAGTGATCATCTTTGTGATATTCGTCTTACATCCCAATTACTTTTTTTTTGTTTTAAACTTCATTGTTTAAACCTTTTTTCCCCCAGATCTCTGTGGGGTATGAACCTCTGTTTCAGTGTGTGTCGTGCATTTCTTTATTTTCCATTTTAGCTGTAGTAGACGTATATCCAGGGGTTGGTGCAGCTGTTGAGGCTGGCCAGCAGCATGATGATGGCAAACACTGGACCTGTGAGAGGACAGTAAGATGTGTCAAACTGATCTGAGGTGCATTAACACTTAGCCTATGTATTGCCTTGTTTTTAAAATATAACATGTTGACGTATTACATATAAAGATACAGACTTAAATCTTGAAGACTCACCTTGAGTTGGCGCACTGCTGGGGATCCATGCAGACCATAACTGGACAAAAAAGAAAGGGCTCCAACACACTGTGTATGTCATTATAATAACAAAAGTCATCTTCACAGTCTTCAGCATGGCGTTGGACACCCCTCTCGTGCCCGTGCGACCTGCCTGCAGAGCCTTTCTCTTCATGTTGAAGTAGATGGTGGTGCATATTCTTATTTGACAATAGAGCACAATGGCTGCAGGCATGGCGAACACTGCCCCAGTTATCCAGGTGATGTAGATTATGTTCCCCCACGGTTCTATAAATGTAGCCCAGCAGTCGAACTGGTTCTCCTCCACCTCCTGGAGAGAGAAAATGGAGATCTGAGGAGAGCTGAGGGCGAGAGAGATGAGCCACGCTGCGCCTATGGAGAGGTATCTCCTAAACGAGCTCTTAATGAAGGAAACCATGGGCTTACAGACCGCGTGGTACCGGTCTATAGTCATGGCCACTATCATGTACGAGGAGGCAAACATCCCGACTACCTGCAGGTATTTCACAGCCCGGCACAGGAAGTCCGTGCCTTGGAACCTGTGCGTAATTTCCATGAGAAACTGAGGTAGGACCTGGAAAAAAGCTACCACCAGATCCGCCAAGCACAGGTGTAAAAGGAACAGCTGGGTCCTTGTGTTTCTCTTCCGCTTCTTCCAAAGTGTGCTCAAGAAGAAAAGGTTTCCATAAGTTGCAATCACAAAAACCAAACCCAATACTCCGGCTCTGATGAGCGCAACACGCGTATACACCTCTCCGCCATCAGCGGGGGGCTTTTCTGAGCTGTTGCTGCCCAAACCCATTTAATTTACTGATT